CCCCAAAACCCCAAAACCCCAAAACCCCAAAACCCCTGATTAGGTACCGTGAGTTGAGATATTATAAATTAGCAAGCAAACCTAAAAATGGAGAACTCCGGATGTTGGTGCGATGGAATTCATAAGTTCATCTTCTATATCGGCTTGATTATCCTCTTTCGATACTTTTTCAGATTTGTCTTCTGAATTCAAAGATACTTCTTCAGGAAGGGCCATAATGTTCAAGAGAGATACGGACAAGGATCATGGATCCTTGTCACTGGTGCCACTGATGGCACTGGCAAAGCCACTGCAATCTATGCTGCCAAAGAGAAGGGAATGAATGTGGTTCTTGTTGGTAGGAACAAAGATAGACTCCTAAAGGCTGAGAAAGAAGTTAGAACTGCTAACAGCTCTATAGATACAAGAATTTATGAGTTTGATTTCAACAAGTCTACTGAAATCAAAGATTTCATGAAGATCTCTGAAGAATTCAAGGATCTTGATATTTCGATCTTCTTTAGCAATGCTGGAGTTATGACCACTAAATGTATCAGAGATTTGTCCCTTGAAGAGATTAAGGAAATGACGGAGACAAATATCCATGGGCCAAGTATCCTTACTAAGATCTTCACAGACAGATTTGCCAAGAGAGATAAAAGAAGTGCAATTATGATCATGGGAAGCGTTGCTGGATGAACTCCTCTCCCTAATAATTCTCAATATGGTGCTACTAAAGCGTACCTAATCAGCTTCTCAAAGGCCGTAGGATATGAAATCTCTGATAAGATAGATATGATTGTATCTACTCCTGGGTTTGTCAAGACTAAGCTCAATGGATATGCTGAAAATCCTCTGGCAGTCTCTCCTACTCATCAAGCAGCATCCCTATTCAAAGATTTAGGATTTGAACGCCAAAATATGCCGATTATTGGGCAAGAATTTGCAAATAATCTACTCGGTAAGTTCATTAAATCATTCTTTAGGGATTGTTTATAGTCTCAGTGAGAGTCTTGGGCTTGCCATTCTTGGCAAGATTATGATCCAAGAGAGAAAGGAGATCGAAACCTATTGGGAAAAACAAGAAAAGTAGACATTTTATAAATTTCAATCTTGATATTCCTACAGGGGTTTTGGGGTTTTGGGGTTTTGGGG